GAGAATTAGAGTTAGAAGATTGTTAGTTAGACTGGCAAATACATCAATATTAAGGGAATGTAACTTAGTTAGCTCTACCTTCCTATGGCAGCTAATACTGATCTAATAATGAGTGGTTGCTGGAATATATAGTAGTAGAAATGAAAATGGGGCCAAGTTATTTTCTAAGATGATGCAACTAGAGTTATGATGGGCAGATGGCACTCAAAAAAATTAACAAAAAATAAAATACTACTAAAATATATTAAAAACACAACTATGAAAAAGGGCAGTATCCTGCATCAATTCTTAGGTGGTTAACCTAAAGTAGTTAATGCCTCAAGGAATGGCTCATCAAATATTTTAGCTTGCAGGTTGTAGAGAAACCAAATGGGAGTTAGCTTGACCTTTCTAGGTACAAATTTCTAAAGCCTGGAGAGTAGTTATGGAATTGAATCTAATATTCCCATTAGATATGAATGGGAATTAAATTAGAATGATTGAGAATAAGAGAAATGGGTAATATGGCAAACAAGAGCATTTAATAACAACTGATATTATATTTCAGATTATAAAAGTCCTTTTTAGTAACCACAATTAAAATTTGCAACTCAGTTTCAAAGTAAAAATCACCATGACTATGTTTATGACTTTCTTTCAGCTTTCCTTTTTTCCTCACTCCTTTACAACTTGGAATGCTCACCCTGGCATAATAAGCAAGAAGGGAAATGAGGTAAGATAACCTTTATTGTTACTTTTTTTTCTGTGAACACACTGGCACACATTAAAAAAATGAAATTCTGGGACTTCCGGTTCTGGTACGCGGTGACGCTGGTCGTGTCTGAGGACTTGTCTCCAGCCCGGCCGGGTTTTCTGTGTCAGTACACCCCCCAATGGGTCAAAAGTTGCCCTGGAGGGGCAACCACTGAGAAGGAGGCTTGCTGGTGGCTGCAGGAGAGTGGCAGCTTCTCCCGCAGCACCAGCTATTTCCTTAGGGCCGACGGAGCAACGATCGTCCTGCAAGATGGCCGATTATCCTACTGCACCAGTCGAAGTCACAATTACAGCTAAGCGATATTAGACCCACCGCGGAGGATCCAGATGAGACCCCTTTAGCCCCTTTCTTTTCCTTACTTGTTTTTTTTTCCCTGAAAAAACTTGGATTGGAATTATTTCCCCGTTTGGAAAGGGCGGCTTCTGTATGTGTGGGAAGAGAGGCGTTGAGAATAAAAAAAATTTAAAGACTACACTCTATTTTCACTCCTTTTGGGATACAGAAAAAAAAACTTTTTTTTTTTATTTTATTAAGAGCTAATATTGGAAGAATACTTCTTTCTCCACTCTTTCCTTTAAAAGAGAAAAAAAAGGGAAAAAAGGTCTGGAAAAGTTTCTTTTTTATTTACTGAGGACATCTAGTGGTGAAAGGTTAATGTTGCAACTATTCTTTGGATAGAAACCTGACCTTCAAAATATTCCCTGGAAGAAATAAGCTGGTGCAGCTGTGGGAACTGAGGGGGTGGACACTGTTTAATTACAGCCTTCATTAAAATAATAACAACAACAACAACAACAACAACAACGATGATGATGAAAAGACTTTTTGGATTACTTTTAAAATGGAGAAACTCCACTCTCATTTAAATTGCAAGCTTATACTGGAAAAAATTTATGAGGTTTCTAAAGAAATATGTGCTATAAGGAAAAGGATTACTACAGAACAAACAGTCAATGCTACCCCAAACTTTCAAACTGACCTTCAGATTACAGCTATTTATGCTAGAAACCAAAAGATACCAGAAGAGGAATTAAAGGAAATTAAAGAGGAATTTGTTACAATGAAAGAGATCACCACAGAACTAAGAATCAGAAATTCTTCTTCAAATTTTAAAAGTGACTTTCAGATTACACCAGACTACTCTACAAACCAAAATACATGAAAAGAGGACTTCATTGAGGATACAGAGGGACTCATTTCATCCTACAAACATCTTATCTACAGTTGTGAGGACCAGAAAAAACAAAGATTGAGATTTGAACCTTTAATGTAGCGAGGCTTCAAGAATAAGAGAAATGGAGGTCCAATCCAGATGATAGGAAGCTTATTATTGCCTCAAATAACATCACAAGCAACAAAGAGAGATTTACCAGTTGGAAGGGAAGCGTTGTTGTGGAAACCTGCTTGGCAGAAAAAAAAGCCTAGAATGAGACTGAAAAGAGAAATTTTTAATTTTATATATATTGGATATAAGGCATTTTAGAACTATGGACTGAGTTAAGGATTAAGTTTTGAATAGAAATAAGAAAAAATGGGTGATTAATGTATGGAAATTACTATATAATGGAATGAAGAAAAATGAAGAGATGTTTTAGATCAGGATTGAATTAATAATTAATTGAATGTGATTTTAATAAGATGATGTATTCTCTCTGATAATATGGATGATATTAGGTTTGATAATTTAACTGGATGAAAACAGAACCTTGTTTAAGGGACTCAAATGATTTAAGATTGTTATTATTTTGTTAACAAAAAAAATTGATGGATTGATAGATTAGATATGTATAGGATAAATTAATTTTTATTTTAATTGGGAGATAGTTGTGGAAGAAGAAATAAATAAGATTTATGATGAAATTAAAGAATTAGGACATATTTAGAAGGGATACCTGAACTGATAATGTGTGTATTTGAAGTCAAATTTAATTATGGTCTTGTAATTGCACAAAGCTTTAAAATAGGTTTAGGATTAATAGAAATTTAGGGTAGAAATAGACTAGTCTAAATATATAAGCTATTTGAGGGAAATAGAGAGGGAATATTTGATGTATTGATTGAATTACTTCTATATGTTTTGTTTTTGGATTTTTGATTACCCCAGCCCCATGGTGTGTTTCGAGCACTTTGTATTAATTAAAAAACCAATAAAATTTGTTTAAAAAAATGAAATTCTGGTGCCCGCTCTCAAAAGAAAATAAGCTAAAATGTTGAAAATCCACCCAAGTTAACAGCACTATCCAGGATAGCAATAGCACTTAAGACTTATATACTGCTTCACAGCAATTTACAGAATCAGCCCCAACAATCTGCATCCTCATTTTACCAACCTAGGAAGGATGGAAGGCTGAGTCAACCTTGAGTCAGACTTGAACTGCCAAACTGCTGGCAGCTAGCAGTCAGCAGAAGTAGCCTGCAGAACTGCATTCTAACCACTGCGCCATCACAGCTCTTGGAATGCTTTAATCAAGTTTTCATTGCAATGATGACATAGCAGTTTCTCAGCTGTCAATTTGTTATTAACTGGCAAATAGTGTTTGTATTTACATTCATTGGAGAGGAAGGGTTACAAGAGAGTAAGCAGGCACACAATAAGTCTACGCAGAAAAATGAATACCAACTGGCCATGTAGATTTAAAACAGAGTAGAAAAAAATATCAAACAGCAACTTTGGGTCTTCAGGGATATACAGGTAATCCCAGACAATGCTGCCCAAATTAATATGATCCCACCTCACCCCATCCTGCAACTCACTGGGAAAAATAGAGAGAAAGAAATATAAGCCAAACAAAAAACTAATGCCACATTGATTGTCCCCATATTTTCAAAATAAGATTGCTAACCTCAGTGTAATAAAAACCTTAATTCTTTATCCCAAATACCCAATAAATATGTACTTTGTTCCTTTGTGTATATGTACATGCACTTGCCAGAAGCCAAAAAAAAAAAAAGGCCAAGCTCAGAAGGGGAAAAAATTAAATTAATTGAATTAATATTCAGTATTAATTAAAATCAATTGTCTATAAAATTAGGTAATTTATTTACTTGCTCCTCATCTGATTATATAAGCTATTATTCCATTGACATAGATAGAAACTCTTCCAGGATAGAAACTCCAAAAGTACAGTACAATAGAAATAGGATAGCAGGAAGGGATATGTACATTAGAAAAAATGGAAATCCTGATGGAAATCGGCAGGGGCATGAGATAATTGGATAAGGGAGCAAATGAAAGAGGGAAGCCCCATTTACTATTAATTTTTTAAAAAATGTTTAAACATCAGGCAAATAGCCCCTCCAATCCAGCTGCTAATCTTCAGGCTACTCTTCAGTCGCAATCAGACTTTGCAGCAGTTGTAACAATTACAACTATTTCCATCCATAATCCCTTTGTTTCTATTCAGCAAATATAATGGAATTATTGGGAAGAGGATTGCATTTTCCTATTGGTTAAAAATAGGAAATACAAGTAGACATATAGCAAGGCGTTTGTTAAGTGAGACATCACATGGCTGCTTGTTCAACAACCATAAATCTGGCACTCCCAATCTTATGGGTTACTAAGTGGATAAAGTTTAGTAAAGAGCATAAGGTTCCAGGAGCTAAAAAAATCTCTCCAGAAATTTAAGCAGGATTTTCAGTTCCTGAGCAAAGAGACACTTACAGTAAATGTGGCCTGCATCAGCTCCCCCACCCATGTGAGGCACACTGTATCCCTTATCTTCCCACATTGCCTCTCTGCTAATATTTTGGCTCCTTCTCATCTCTAGGGTCTGGATAAAAGAGCTACCAGCCAACTCCTTGTCATGCATGGAAAGGAACTCCTTTGGTAGAATGCAAGTTTCTGAACTCGGCCAAAGGCATTCAACTTTCTTCAGCAGGGAGCCAATAATGAGAGAGTTCTCTCTATAGGTAGTAGCAACTAGCAACCTTCCCTGATGGCTTCACCACTGAGTTCCTGGAGAAGCTAGCAGAAAAGATTGCAAATTGTTATCACATGATCACAAGATACTTGGCAACCGATCCTAAGTGTGAATAGGCTGCCAAGTGCCCAAATCACGATCACATGACTGCAGGACATTTTGTGAAGGCCAGAAATGTTTTACAGGCCATCATAATTCAGGATCATTGTTATATGAAGGTTTAGGACTATTTGGGGAAAAAAAGTTTGGGTCTCATTGTTATATGCGATTCCCACTATGGCAGTATAGAACCCAACCTATTAAACTGGGTTCTAGCCCATTTATTTAAATTCACTCAAAATTTTATCTGTTGTTTAGAATTACTTTATGCCCTGCTAAATGACTGGCATCACATCTAAATAGGAATAGCATCATGGTTACTATGGATATCCTGAAATTCTGAGCTTTCCAAATACAAGATGTCACTCCAAAGAATAAACCCTGAAAACTGCATTGTAGGAAAGGGATTTGGAATCCCCATTCTGTCCCTTCACATGTGAACATTCAAGTCACAAAGATAGCAAGGTGATGTACACACCTGGTTTTAGAACCATGAACACAGCTCCTTCAGGTCTTAACTATTATTGTAGGAAGTACTTAGGTGGGCAAAACTGTGTCATGCATATCAAATCAGAATCATGATCATTCACTGACTGGGCATTCAGCAATACATTATAATAGCTATTTTGTTCAACTTTTTTATTGACAGAAGTAAAACAGATACAAGACAAGTGCAATATAACTCTAGTTAATTTAAGCTACAGAAATCAGGCAATCATCAGTGCAGCTTTGGGAGGGGGGAATTGAGGATGAGAATCTTTATTCAACAATTGGAATTTATTAATTTAAATTCCTTACCAGTCAATTTCTTCATAGGCTGGAGTCGAACACTGATAGATTGATGTGTTAGTAATGGGGAAGATGGGAGAGAGCGGGACATGCCTTCCATAATTCGAATGTGCTGGATACCTTCAGGCACTGTGAGTGTTGGGATAGCATACTCTGGTTCAAAAGCGCAATCGTTCTCTGCACAACTGCCACCTAAGACAAATAATTTCAAAAAGTGTTATTAATACAATAATGCACAGACAACGTCTATGGGATTTTACACTTTACACTAAATTAGGAAAAATCTTTTAAGAAGCTAACTGCTTTCCCAATCTGTTAAGAAATCCTACTAATTCCACAAACAAAGCTTTACAGTGTCAGTTGTATTCTATAGTACAGGAAATCCAAGTTTCATTATTGCTTCCTTTAGGACATTCCTGGGTTCGACATAAAAATAACAACTGTAGTTATTCAACAACTGCAGTTCAGCAACGTGCAGTTCTGGAGCCGCATGCGGTTCTTTGAGCCTTCTCCTGTGGCTCCCAGCCTCTTCTGCCATTTGCAGAGAGAGACAGAGACAGAGAGAGGCACTTGCGCTTCTCTCTCTCTCTCTCTCTCTCTCTCTCTCTCTCTCTCTCTCTCTCTCTCTCTCTCTCTCTCTCTCTCTCTCTCTGTGTGTGTGTGTGTGTGTGTGTGTGTATAAAAGAGAGTGGTCTCACCCTGTTCGATGAGCTGATAAGCTTATTGGGCGGGGCGCCTTCCTTTGCTGAGTCTCTACAGGAAGCAGGAAGGAGAGGAGAGAGCCAGCCTGTTGCAGAACAGCCTGAAGCCAGCTTGCCAGGTGAACAGAAGATCAGCGAGTGGGAGGGGGGGAGAGAGAAAGAGAGAGAGGGAGAAAAAGAGAGCAAAGAGAAAAAGAGAAAGAGGGAGAGAGAGAGGAAGAGGAGAGAAAGAGAAAAAGAGAGGAGAGAGGGAGAGAGAGAAAGAAAAAGAGGGGCGAGAGGAAAGAGAGAGGGAGAGGAGAGAGAGAGAAAGAGAAAGAAAGAGGGGGGAAGCGCAAGTGCCTCTCTCTCTCTCTCTCTCTCTCTCTCTCTCTCTCTCTCTCTCTCTCTCTCTCTCTCTCTCTCTCTCTCTCACACACACACACACACACACACACACACACACAGAGTGTGGGAAGAGGACTGGCAGACCAAGGGCAGAAAGAAGGAGAGGAGGGAGAGAGAGAGAGGGAGGGAGAGAGAGACAGAGAGAGACCCTTTTGACATCTAAAATGAAGATCCTGCATATATCCTTTTTTACATACATACATACATACATACATACATTGGTGTATACTGGCTTAGTTGCTGTAGGTGGATTAATGGGCACACAGCCAGCACCTCAACTACTCAGGATGTTATGAAACAGCCAAACAATCCACAAACAATAACTCCTACACAGCCAACCAATCCACCTACAGCAACTAAGCCAGCACTCCACACACCCCCACCAATATATATAGAGAGACGGCAGCTCCGATCACACTTTGCTCGCACAAACACGAAGCCGAAGACCCCAGCCTGAAGATGACGAGTGGGACCTCGTTGAAACGTCACCAAGATACTCTCAATCTTACACAGGAAAAGACCCAAATACACCAAGATCTGCATACCTATATCCGTGAAAATCTACGAAAACATTATATGCCTTTAAGAGCTTTTTAAGCACGCTATGTGCACATGCCTCACTGCAACCGTTGTTTAACTGTTATGTAAATTTATGCGCATACTCCCCCTTTCTCATTTAGCCCTTTGCTCTGATGATGTTAACAAGTTGTTAACAAAAGCTCAACAATTAATAAAAAAAGCCTTTTACCTTACACCCCAGAGATCTTTATTTTTATCTGATTGACTTTAAATATACATACATATATACATACATACATACATACATACATACATACATACATACATACATATTTGTTTTCTGAGGTTTTCGCGAGTGTTTGTATGTAGGTCTTTGGTTATTCGGGTTTTCTCCCGCATCAAATTGGAAGTGTCTTGGCGACGTTTCGACGAAGTCCCATTCGTCGTCTTCAGGCTGGTGTTTTCGGCTTCTTGCTCCTAGAAGCAAGCTTAGTGACTTTTTTAACCACAGGCTTGTTTATATTAAACAGTCTGGTTTATTATATCCTGGTGTTCATTTTTCTTTCTTATTTGGTTAACATAATGCCCAGGATTAGCACTTTTAGCATTTTAAAAGAAACCCATCCTTATTGACAAATGAGTCCCTAAAACAAAGAATGACAGCAGACCCACACTCACCACACATCCACGCAAAAAGCAAACCCAAACCCACACCAATGATGAAGCATGACCACAAACCAGAAGCCAGACCACAACTGCATCATTAGCCACTTTAAACCCCTCCAATCCATACATGAAGCAAACTGACACCCACCATGAAGATGAGGCACGACCATGAACGTGAAGCCAAACAATAGCAATGCAGCTCACCATCTCACATCCCCCTGCAAGTCAGATTAACCTGAACACAACAAAGCCCCCACCCAAACAGAACACTCCCCCATCCAATCAGAGCACAGCCAACCCCCATCCAATCAGAGCACAGCCAAGCTCCTAACCAATCAGAACACACCTCCACCAATCAGAACACAGCCAAGCTCTCACCCAATCAGTTCATACCCCCACTGGCAGTTAAAAGAAAGAAACATCTATGATCACACATTGCTCCTAGAAGCACGAAGCCGAAAATACCAGCCTGAAGATGACAAATGAGACTTCATCGAAACGTCGCCAAGACACTTCCAATTTGACACGGGAGAAAACCCGAACCAAAGATATATATATTAAAAAATATAAAAAAGGTATATGCAGTGTTATCTTCATTTTAGATATCAAAAGGGTTCTGTGGCTCCCAGTGTTTTGTTTTCGGTAGGAAATGGGTCCAAGTGGCTCTTTGAGTGTTTTGGGTTGCCTACCCCTGTCATATACATATGATATATATGGCTTCTGTAACTACAGAAGAGCAAATTCAAAATATTCCAGAAAGATTTTTGACAGCTTCCCTCCTCATCTTATAGCATTTTATGTGAATGAGACTCCTATCCGATCTCTCAGTTTCAATTATAACTATGACACTGTTTCAAGCTGTATCCAGGGAGACAAGAGGTTGTGCCAAGTTGAGCTGAACTACTATTAAAGGTAAGAAACCAGTTCTTCTGTCTGTTACATATGGGTGATCAGCACAAATTGTACTGGATGGCATACTTATACAGTAATGGAAAAATACTGAGGAAAGAAAAATGTGCCAATATTGCCTCATATTGAAACCAATGATCCAGATGACATCTTATCAGTGTACAAAACTGAGATCAGGTAACCATTAGACAGATCTCAGAAAAGAAATATTCCTCAAAAAATTATTCTGAAAGCTGGCACCCATGTCAAATGGCAGCATGGCCAAATTATAACACTCTAATGGTGGTTTGACCAATAGGAAAACAATTGTGGGATAACGGGCTCATTCTCAACCTGATTTTGAAAGATGCGGTGTGGTTGTTAGTCAGCCTTTTGGCCACCTTGCACTCCCTTGCTGCCTTATGCTCCACTGACCCTGCAGTCTGTCACCCCTGCTGTCTCCATTGTCTGTTGCCTCATTCAAGCTCCTACTGACCTTCACCATATTCCTCCTTTCGCAGTTGTTGCCAAGAATACAGGGCAAAATAAAGGGCAGAGGGACGTGTGGCGGGGCAGTGGAAGTGTAGGACAGAGCACAGGGTAGCCAGGCAGGGGGAAAGGTATAGGAGCATAGGATGGCAGAGTGCAGGAAGGGGAAAAAGGATAGAAATGGGGGAAATAGGGGGTGGGGGGAGAATCTGAAGGACATTCTTTATTTGTAAATATGGGCAAACTGCCAAGCACCCAAATTTCGATTACCAAAATTGCCCAGGGAGAAGTTGCAATAGCTGTAATTTTGTGGGCTATCCATAACAATCATTTATTCAGTGCTGTTATAATTTTGAATGAATGGTCATTAGGCAAGGACTAACTGCACTACTAAAGCCAAAAATAATTATCAACTACTATGATCACCTCAATAAAAGGCTGAAAGCTAAAAATAACAATGAGTCAATGAATTCAACAACAATATCTCAAATGTCTAATTACTGGTAAAGGATAAAGGTTTTCATGTCCAGTCGTGTCCAACTCTAAGGTGCAATGTTCATCTCCATTTCTTGGGAAAGGAAACCAATGTTGTCTGAAGACATTTTCCAAGGTCATGTGGCCAGCATGGCTATATGCCAAAAGTTCATGGAACACTGTTAGTTTCCCACTGAAGTGGTATTAATCTACTTTTATTTTGCATGCTTTTAAACTGCTAAGTGGGCAGGAATGGAGCTCATCCAGTTGCGAGGCACTCAGGTCTCAAACCTCAGCTGTCATTTTTTCAGCTGATAAGCTCAGTGTTTTTGACCAAGTGTATAGCAAGGTAGACTATTAAACAGGAATCATTTCTCCATTTGAGGACCGTACCAAATTTGTCCAAGTGGAGTTATACTCTAATACCATGAAGACACGGCAGGGCGCTACTGTTAGTCATACAGATAGTCTTCAACTTAAGACTGGTTGCTTAGCGACCATTCAATGTTATGATGGACTACCTCCATGATTCCTTATGACCCCGATTTGATATTCATGACAGCCAGGAAGAGAAGGTGCCTATAGTCACATGTTCATATTTTGGCTGCTTGGCAACCAGACATTTGCAGTATCCTTTGGCCACAATATCACAATTTACACAGTTTTGGGGCAAAAATCAATTTTTATTCTGATCTGCAAATATCCATTGCAGACAATGAATTCACTTAACACATGCAGTGTTTCCTTAACATCCACACTGATTCACTTAATTGCCGCCAAAAAGGTAACAAAATGGGATATGGTCACATGATGACTTTCTTAATGACCAGCATATCATATACAACTGTAATTCTGGCCTTAATTATAGTTATAAGTTGAGGATTACCTGTATACAATAAGAAAATATTCTTGACACTATAAAAAAGATTACGAGAACCAACAATAGGACACAGAACTGAAGGGAAATGATCCAGTCTTAAACTGAAGATACAAATTACACTCAGAACAAAGAAAACATGCAATTGAGTCAAATCAACAGCCTGTGAACACCAATAGAAAATAACTCAG